TTAGAAACTAGGTCTTAATAGTAAATGCTGTGGCACAGACTTGAATAATGTATAATTGTATTCATTTTAATATTTCTTATTACCTGCCTTCTGTATATTTCAATTCAATTCCCCATGACCACTTTCTGAAATAAAGAAAGAGGAAAAAGAGGGGAAAGTCTCAGATATTTGAATTTCCTCTCTCTATTCTTATTGACCCCCACTTTTGTGAGACTTTCTTTTCTTGCAATGTAATTGCACACATATTTGTGTAGAAGTAAGCATAAGAACACAGTGCTCTGCCTTTAAACTGATTATAAATGGATGAATTTCTGTCTGTCTCTCTGTGTTTTGATTTTCTCGACAACTGCTTATCTGACCGACTTCAAACTTGGAGGTGCATTGAGGATCCAAAGACATCCAGTGTTGACAGCGATCAGTGATGGATCAGTAGTTATCAGTTGGTTGTATAACGCTGCTGTGTTGTGTTTTTATGTGCTAGTGATTTCATATTGCGACATTACTTGTGATATTAATTTGGGTTTGGCTCAATTGGTTTTTTTATGTGTAATTAATGGGAGACCATGCAGTGCCGAGAATGAGTAAACAAACTCGGATCCCACAAGTGTCCAAGTGCAGTGGTAGAAAGTAATCATGTCACGGTAAAAAAATCTACTGATTGCATAAAGGGTTTTATTGGTCATGATAAATGGCTCTCAACTACAGTATTGTGAAATTCGAAGACTGCCTCATTCTAGCGGTCAACAGTTGAGGCTGTGATAATACCTAATACTTTTCCCCTCCTTAAGGAATAGCCAACCATCATAATCACAGGCCAAATCCCTGAAACCAACCAGATTGCAATGAATGAAACGCATCTGAAACCGTACACCAGTCTCACTGATTAAAACCCGGCTGGTCACACAGGTTCATTTATGTTGAACATATTGAGGCAGAAGAGTTTCCTAACTCATTCCAGATTTCCAGCACATATACAACACACACACTCACAGCACACTGGTGCCAGTAATGAGACTCTTATCTAATGTTGCCTCTTTGCTTTCGAAACCTGTCTGAGATCCAATGTGTTCTGGGTTTGTATAGGTTTAAGTATCGCTCATTATATGTATTTGTGAATGTGTATTCGCATGGTTCCTTGCATGACTGTAATTTCCCCACAGCTGATACATATTACTGCGATACTATCATGGTTAAAGTTTTATAATTACTCTCAACCGCTTCCCCACAGTGTTCACTCAGACATACAACCCCCATCTGCTTATGTGTTGCTACATTTGCTTTCATTCAGAGTATTTTGAGGCATGCTCAAAGGCACATAAGCACATTTTATACACATGGAAACCAAATGGACCAATATGCACATGAAACAGGAAGGATAAAGCACAATTTAAGCATTCAAGTATATATCTGAAAATAATACGGTGTCAAAGAACGGTGGTGTGGACTCAAATAACAGTGACTTAACATTAAACTTCAAATCGGACTTGATTCATTGTCGACTTGACTTGTTGGTCTTGTCTTGGGACTTGTCTCACTTGTTAGTCTTGACTTGGGACTTGTCTCACATGTTGGTCTTGACTTGGGACTTGTCTCAC